TATGACCAACCTAGACAGCATATTAAAAAGCAGAGACATTACTTTGCCAACAAAGGTCCATCTAGTCAAGGCTATGGTTTTTCCAGTGGTCATGTATGTATGTGAGAGTTGGACTATAAAGAAAGCTGAGTGCTGAAGAATTGATGCTTTTGAACTGTGTTCTTGGAGAAGACTCTTGAGAGTCTCTTGGACTGCAAGGGGATCAAACCAGTCAATCCTAAAGGAAATCAGTCCTAGGCATTCATTGGAAGGACTGATGCTGAAGCTGAAATTCCAATACTTTGGGGACCTGATCTAAGAACTGACTCATTGGAAAAGACCCTGATGCTGGGAAAGATCAAAGGCAGGAGGAGAAGGGGATAGAGAATGAGATGGTTGGATGCCATCACTGAGTCTATGGACATGAGTCTGAGCAAGCTCTGGGAGCTGGTGATGGACAGGGAAACCTGGCGTGCTGCAGACCATGGGGTCACAAAGAGTTGGACATGACTGAGCAACTGAACTGAATTGATAGATAGCTATGACGAGGCAGGGCATCCCAGAGCTTCCTATGTAAGCAGTGTTCATAATAAACTAAATCATTTAAATTGCCTACAAAAGCAGAGTCCTCAGATTGGATTTTTAAAAGAAGAAAATCACGTATATATGCTGTTTAAAAAGAAACCTATATATACACACATATTTCCTTGCTCTGAGAGAACCTAAAAGCAGTGATATTGCGGTAGTAATGAGCACTCCTAGCACCCAGATCTTGGTTTCTAATACCATCCTCCAGCAAAAGGTACCAAGGGTTCCTTGGAGAAATGACTGATTCTAGGACTGGGCAGGGAAAAAATCCCACATTAAAGAAAGTATGTCAAAAGAACACAGGAGACAACTGAAGGGAGTTGCCGATGTTCAAAGCTGGAACAATTTGAGGGAAAAAATGAAGTAGATTGTATTATAACCTAAAGTATAAAGTAAATATCCAGGAGTCCACGTGTATGTGTGTGTGGTCATGACTGACTCTTGGCAACCCCATGGACTATAGCCTGCCAGGCTCCTTTGTTCATGGAATTTTCCAGGCAAGAATACTGGAGGGTTGACATTTCCTACTCCAGGGGATTTTCTCGACACAGGGGTCAAAGCTGCATCTCTTTCATCTTCTGCATTGGCAAGTGGATTCTTTACCACTGCACCACCTGGGAAGTTCGCTGAATAAATAAAAGATTAAATAAATAGATGGGGGAGAAGAGACAAATCTCCAGGCATTATAAGTTAAAATAACTTATGTAGATATTACACCCTCAAGGAGGTGGAGCATAACTCCACTACTTAGGTGCGGACAACCCATTGGGACTTACTTCCAAAAAGTACAGTATGAGAAGGATGGAGGGGTGGGGTAATGAAGAATCCTGACAAACACTACCTCTGCAGGTGATCAAGGTCAGCATCACGTGATAAGTCATATTGGTAGTACATACCTTTGATAGAAGGTGATGAAAATGGCACTTCACCTGTGTGATCTTTCTCCCTAAACCCCACAATTTCAGTCTAATAATGAGAAAAACGTCAGAAAAACCCCAATTGATGGATACTGTACAAAAAACCTGACCAGAACTACTCAAAACTTCCAAAGTCATTTAAAAAAAAAAGGAAAGTCTGAGACACTATCACAACTAAGGAAAGCAAGAAGACATGACAACAAGTCTAATGTGGTATCCTGAACCAGATTCTGAGACAGAAAAGGGGTATCAGGCAAAAACTGGGGAAAGCTAGGGACTTCCCTGGTAATCTAGTGGCTAAAATTCTGCACTCCCAATGCAGGGGGCCCAGGTTCGACCCCTGGTCAGGGAAGTAGATCTCATATCTCCAGCTAAAGATTCTTCAAGATGCAATGAAGATCGAAGATCCCACGTGCTGCAACTAAGACTCTGCACAGCCAAATAAATAAACTAAATAAATGAATAATTACTTTTTTTTAAAACTGGGGAGAGTTAAATAAAGTATGAACTTTGGTTTATAATAATGTATCAATATTGGTTTGCTAATTATAACAAATGTAGCATTCTAATGTAAGATGTTATTAGGGAAAACTGGGTGCAAAGTATTTGGCAACTCTCTTTGAAATTTTTCTGTAAATCTAAAGCTGCACTAAAAAAAAGATAAAGCTTATTTTAAAAAAGAGAGAGAGAGAGAGAGAGCAATAAAGAGAGAATGAAAGTAGAGACAGGAAAACAAATGCCAAACAAATATTCACCCACTTAGAGCTAGTATAACATAAGATAAAATGGAAGGCAAAAAAAAATGCTTAAGGCAAAAAGCATTACTAACAATAAAGATAGTCATTACTTTACAATTCACCAGGAAAAATATCACAACCTTATAAGCATCTGTCAACATAGCTTCAAAATATATGATTTGTATACTTTCCCCCAAAAGCTTTAATTCTGAAGTGATCCTCCAAACAAAGCCCACAATGTTCTTATTTTTCCATTGTTTACCAGCTTCCTGTCCTGAACTGTGACATACTGAAAAATATTCCAAGTTATACTTTATGTAACTTCAAGTGAAATTATGAAATTGTAAGTCCTTCCTTTGGGCAAAAGAAAAATGTCTCAAAAGCAACTCACATAGAGAATGACCAAGGATATTCCATGTTTGGACCTAACTCTTGGCTTTCTAATTTAGCATTAGCCTGAAGTAAAAACTCCTAACTCTGTGTCTCCCTTGCTTAGAGTTTCCTCCCTCTCCAGACTGAAAGACACTGCCTGAATTAGACTTCCATTTTATCAGGAATTGCAGGGCACACAGAGCCTCCAAGCTCTCAAAAAGCTTCCTGGAGACTTCCAGAACCGCAGGAATCACCCCTTGGAGAGCGTCCAGACTTTAGCATCTGGAGAGGTCATCCAAAGAAGGAAGGTAAGAGATAAACACAGAAAGAGAGGGCTTTTTTGTAAGATTGCAGAAAGAAAAGAGGGACTCAGGTGGCTCAATTAACAAATAAGCAAATATATTCATAGAGTTTATCAGGAATGTGTCACATGATACTTACATGGATTTACAAAAAGAGGGCAGGTTAGTAAATTAGAAAGTATCAAATGGTGATGAAGGTAGGAAGAATCCTGTCTTCTCAGGAAACAAGGAATTGTAAAAACCATGAAGTTTGTCATCATTATGTCAAGATCTCCCCTGTGCTACAATTGAAAATGACAACAAAATCCCTAGTGAGGCCTGTATTAAGCTTACTGGAATATTAAACCTGACACCTTGTAGTCTAATTCTCAGTTGTTTCTAAGGTCAAAGGACAGTTTTTTCTTTCACATACTAAGTAAATATTGGCTAACCTGCACTTTATATTATACTTACATGTCACAAACACAACATATATTTAAAAGAATGAATACTACAACCATATTTTTTATATCAAAGGGATTTTCTAAGTCAGAATCAATTAGAAAAGCTCAATTATGCTATGTACCACATGTGTATGTGTGTACATGTGTAGGGATGTTTCTAAAAGCTTAAAAATTATTAGAACAATCCTTTTTTTTTGGTGGGGAAGCCATGCCACACAGCTTGCAGGACCTTAGCTCCCCAACCAGGGATTGAACCTGGGCCCTCAGCAAGGAAAGTATGGTGTCTTAACCACTGAACCACCAGGGAATTCTTCAGAGCAAACTAATTTTATGTAACTAATTTCTTTTCTTTTTTTTTTTTCTTTGTAACTAATTTCTTAAAATGCTACTAAGTGGTCTGATTTTTAAATTTCTAAAATGAGTAATCTGTAAAGCTTAAAATCCTTCAGTGGAAGGAAAAACTAACATTTATTAAGTGTCTCAAATCCAGCACTGTTTTATATGTAGTGTCTTACCTAACTCTTACAACGTCACACAAGCTACGTATTATGAAGCCTATTTTATACACCATGACTCAGAATGGTTAAGTGATTTGCCCAAGGGCACAATAGGTGGCAAATGAAAAACCAGAACTTGAATTCACACCTCTGTGACCCAAAGCCTGCACACACTGCCCAGCATGTAACATGTCCCCAGTTCATATTTGAAGAACAAATGTTCAAAAATTAATTTTGAAATTTTATGAGCCAAGACTACCAAATATTAATAACTCCTAAGAATCCAGTTACAGCTAAAGAGAAAAATATTTGCTAATAATATACTCATATACACATTTAGAACTAAAAATTCAGTTCTGTTATCATGTGATCCTGATTTATAGTTTGAGAATAAACTTGAAAATCATATATCAGTGACGGAAAGTCAATATCCAGTAAAACAGCTCTAGGAAAGGGAAAAAGTCCACTGAATGAACAAGAGATGTTTTGAACCAGAGAGTTCAATGACAGGTTTAGGTCAGCCATTTATCAACTCACAGCATGGTGTGAAAGGCAGGAGGCCTCCATGGAATCATGTGATAGAGCCATTTTAGCTTTATTTTGACTGGTGTCGCATAGAATATCTTTCTCCATCATTTTACTTATAACCTATTTATGTCTTTAAATTTAAAATGTGTTTCTTGTAGAGAGTATATAGTTCAGTTTTACTTTTTACCTAATCTGAAAATCTCTGCCTTTTAATTATGGTGCAAATATCATATATGGGCTTCCCTGGTGGTTCAGAGAGTAAAGAATCTGTCTGCAATGTGGTAGACCCAGGATTGATCCCTGGGTCGGGAAGATCCCCTGGAAGAGGAAATGGCTATCCATTCCAATATTCTTGCTTGGAGAATTCCACGGACAGAGGAACTTGGCAGGCTACAGCCCATGGGATCACAAAGAGTCAGACACTACTGAGAAACTAATACTTTAATTTTTATAGCATATACATTAAGTATAATTATTGAAAAAGGACGGTGAATTAGCAGTTTTAAACTTTCCACAAAAGAAAGCCGAGGATCAGATGACTTCACTGATGAATTCTACCCAAGATCTAAAGAATTAATATAAATTCTTCATAACTATTCAAAACAAATAGCAGAAAGGAAAACTCTTGCCAACTCATTTTATGATGCCAGTCTTACACTTATATCAAAACCAGAGAAAGACATCACAAGAAAATAAAAATCTCTTATAAATATAGATACATAAATCCTCAAAAAATACTACCAATCAAAATCCAAACGTATCCCAGGAATGAAAGGTTGGTTCAACATCCAAAATCAATCAATGTAATATACCATATCAATTGAACAAAGTACACATACATGATCATCTCGATAAATGCATAAACTTTATTTGACAAAACATAATACTCTTTCATAATTAAAAACATCAAAAAAGTAGAAATAGATGGTAACTTTCTTAAACTGATAAAAGGTATCTATGAAAAACCCATAGCTAACATGGTGAAAAACAAAATGCTTTCCCCCTAAAATTGAGACCAAGACAAGAATGTCTATTCTTACCACTACTATTCAACATTGTACTGGAGGGTGTGCCAGGGCAATTAGAAAACAAAAGGAAATAAATAACCAGACTGGAAAGGAAGAAGTAAAACTGTCTCTATTTAGAGATGACATGATAATGCATACAGAAAAATCCTTTAAAATCCACTAGAAAACCACTAGAACTAATAAACTAATATTTAGCAAGGTTTCAGGATACAAGATCAATATAGAAAATCAATCATATTTCTCTGCATTATCAACCAATAATCTAAAATTGAAATTAGGAAAATAACTTCATTTATAATACCATCAAAATAATAAAATGTTTAGGAATAAATTTAACAAAATATGCATAATATTCTTATCCTGAAAAGATAAATACAAAAAATATAAATATAAAACACATTGAAAGAAATAAAAGAAGGCCTAAAATAAATGAAAAGACACCCATGTTCATGAATCAGAAAACTTAAGATTGTTAGGATGGCAATACTTCTCAAATTGGCATACAGATTCAATGCCAATCCCTATCAAAACTCCAACTGCTGTCTTTTTGCAGAAATTCATGAGCTATCCTAAAGTATCCACATATGGAAGTGGAAAGACCTAAAATACCCAAAACGATCTTGAAAAATAACAAAGTTAGAATACTCACACTTTGAGATTTCAAAATGTACTGTAATCTACAGTAATCAGGACAGTGGGATGTTGCCCTAGGATAGACATGTAGACCAACTGAGAGTCTAGAAATAAGTCCTCATATTTGTAGTCAATTGACATTTGACAAAGGTGCCAAGTCAGTTAAAAGGGAAAAAACAATATTTTCAACAAATGGTGCTGAAACAATTAAATATATATCAAATGGATAAGGATTGTCCCCTTCCTTACACCATACACAACAATTAATTTAAAATGCATCCTTTCAAACTTTCTGGTGGTCCAGTGACTAAGACTCTATGCTCCCAATGCAGGGGACCTAGATTCAATCACTGGTCAGAGAACTAAATCCCACATGCCTCAGCTAAAGATCCCACATGCTGCAACGAAGACTGATGATCCCAAGTGCTACAACTAAGACCTGGCACAACCAAGCAAATAAATTAATTAAATAAATGTATCATTGACCAAAATATAAAAGCTAAAAACTATAAAATTCCCAGGAGAAACCATAAGCATAAATCTTCATGACTTAAGGTTAGGCAAGTCTTACTTAAATATGATACTAAAAACTATAACCAAACAAGTGGGGGAAACAGATAAATTGAATTTCATAAAAATTTTAAACTTGTATGCTTCAAAGAACATTATCAGGAAAGTGAAAAGACCACTTACCCATGAAATAGAAAAAAATATTTGAAAACCTGATAAAGGACTTACATCCAGAATATATAAAAAACTCTTACAATTCAACAGTAAGAAGACAAGCAAATTTAAAAATGAGCAGACTTAAA